GCGGCCGCGGGGGCGGGATTTGCGTGGCTCACGGACGTTTCCTTCGGCTTATGCATAAAGCAGCCGGGCCCGGAACGAGATCCAGGGCTCAGGATCCAACTGGTTTGTGTTTGTCTCAACCGACACGAAGCCCGGCCCCTCGCCACGTGCAAGAAATGACACAGCAGATCAAAGCATTTGGCACCGGAGGACACGGCAGCCTCTGGGGGACAAACGTTCCAAGTTCTTTCCCCCCAGACATATCCTCCACGAGGCCTTCGAAAACAAACGGGAACATTTCTCCCACTTCAGTAGTTTTCTGTCGTCACAGCTGCGAGAGACCTGCTCACGGTTCCTTGAAGAGAGAGCAACAACAACTGGCAGCAACTCCAGCCTGTAAAAAAAATGTCCTTTTCTACTTCAGCTACCTGTTTGCATCTGGCATTTACTTTAGTATTAACGGGGAAGGAGGAAGAACCTGACTCTGCTTTCCTCCCTTACTCTCTAAAGGCTAAAGTTGCTTGAAAACAGACCTCAGCTCCGCTCCCCAGGCTGGATGGTCTCACCGTTGAGAAACAGAACCCGGCAGCAGCACAGCAATGCTGCCTTGTTTGTGCACACAGAGCCACAGGGCCAGGTTGCCAAGGAACAAGCATTTTTCTCCTCTATTAGCCAGCACGATCAGCTGAGCAGCTGACTGCCTGTTTACAATTGCTTTTATAGCGCAAAGAATTTTAAAAAACAACTTAGCACCCCTGGCAAAGCAGGGGATGGAAAACAGACAGGCTGTCCCTTTCCCTCATTCCCAGCTAAAGCCCATCCATTGTCCCGCCAGGCTTCTGGGACCCTTGCAAGAACCATTTCAGGCATTTTCCATTGGCTCCTCCTTTTCTCTCCTATTACTGCTGCCTCATCTTCTACCTCTGACTCTGCTGGGAAGCTGAACGCCAGATCCCAACCACACAAACAGGGCCAAAAAGGGTAACGAGCGCCGGCTTCCGCAGAAGCACCATTGGAATTCTTCCCGTCCACTCCGATGCCCGACAGACACGTGGAGCTACCTCTGCATTCCTGGATCAGAGATTTCAGACCAGAGGCGGTGAAAGGCCCTCATGGAGCCATTACCCGTTTAACCGACGTCCTAGAAGCCAACCTCCCTTCAGAGGGAGTCAGCCCAATCTGACAAGTCCAACAAACGGGAAACAGCGGCCACCAAGTACCCACATTCACAGGCTTTTTAAAAATACCCAAACAATCTCCCCTTTGTAAAGCGAATTCCAGTAATGCCACGAGATCTACAGAGACTGTTGTGCCCAAGGAGCGCAGAAAGCACCCAGCAAGACACAAGAGGCCTAGGAAGTGTTGCTAAGGGGCAAAGTTTAAAAATAATCCCCTCTTTCGAAGGCTACAGAAGCCAAGAAGCACATATCCAGTCCTTTGAGACCATCTCCAGCGACTGTCACAGGCGTCACCCAGCTCCCAACCCCGCGAGACGCTGCGAGGAGAAGGGCAACAGCCAGCCGAGCTGTGCGAGGGGGAACTCACCTTTTTGTAAGTAGTCTCGCCCGTGGAGTCCACTCCCCTGTGCCCTTTCTTTATCGTCTGCGAGCCCGGCTGCCCGGAAGAACCTGGCATCTAGGATTGGAGCAAAAGATGGTAAGAACCAAGGGTGCAAACCCCAGAGACTCAGCCTGGTGGCTCCTAGAACAACCTGGGATCGTTTTTGTGTCCTCAGGGATGGAGCCTGTGAAGCGGAGCCCACTGAAGCCCCAGACCCCTGCCCACGGGCAGAGGGAGGACAAGGTCCAAGCTGGCCTCTGGCACAGCAACGGCACCAAAACGCCTTCGGAGAACGCAGTGAGTGAGTCCAGACATCGGAGAGAGACACCTTCTTGCAAGACCACCTGCAAGGGTTTGCCCTTTTCTTATCCCCATCAAACAGACGGGCTCGAAGCGACTCTGGACCAACAGGCACCGTGCTTTCTGCCAGCAAGGCCAAGTCTTCGAGGAAGCGTTTTAGGAAGGTGGTAAATCCTACTCTGATTCATGCCGCAAGAGCTCGCTTGACTCATCGTCTTCTGTCTAACACCCGCAGCCGCTAAATGCTGTTTCTCAGTCAAAACGAGCCGAACGTCTCGCTGGCGGCAGGAGAGCTACGTGATGGTGCGAGAATTGCTCAGTTCTGGGACAAGCTGCGTTTTTAAGCATTTCTCCCCAAAAGTACTTACCTCTGCCTGGTTTACCCCTGACTCAAACAGACTGGAAAAAGAGCAGACAAGTCAGAAATGGCGCCTTCTCTTAGCCAGGGAACAAACCAGCTTGTCGGTCGGAAACTTACCTCAGGGGTGAGCGATTTTTTGACAGTAGATGATCCTGCCAAAAGAACAAAGCCACGCTCAGGAAGGGTTAATTAGGACGCATCACAACACAGCCTGGGTTCCAAGGAACACACGAAGGCATCTGAAAAAGCACTGACTCACGGCTGACTTCTTCCCCGCCTCTCCTCTTACAGCAGAGAGGATTTTTGTCCAGCCCCAGGGAAATGCTACTCCTCTCGCCGCTCGCCCACCGCGCTCGGTTCTAGGACTCTGTGGGGTTATTCCCATCTGTTACTTAGAGCTGGAGGGGCCCAGTGCTCTGCGGACCACACTTCCCCTTCAAATTATTTCCAGGACCTTTAGCAAAAGGCCCAGAACATCAACCCTTTCGCCGCAGCCAAGCCCAGGGATTTTCAGAACTGCTGTGGGGTTAAAAGCGAGCACCCGACCTCGCAGGTATTCAGCTTTTAGCTCTGGATTCCCATCTTGGGGGTTTTTTGGATGCAGTCAGAGGGGAAAAAACCCACCAGGATGGCCCTGCCTCGGCGCGATGTCTGAAAAACAAAGCCCCCAGCCAGACGGAGCGAGGCCGACGGGCAGGCAGATGCATAAACCAGTGACGTGCTCTCCGCCTCCAGCCCAGAAAACCAGACGTGCTCTTTCCTTTTGTTTTTCTTTCTGCTCTGGACACAGCAGCTTTTCTTTTTCTTTTTTTTTTTTTTTTCTACATAAAGCCAGTAGTAAGCGCAAGATCAAAATCCAGAATGGATAAAATTCCTTAACTTCCGACTGAT